AATATTGGTTGACAATATCATATTTAGCAGTATCATGTTCATCCATCTTAAAAACTATTTTTACATCAAAGACTTGAATTTTGATAACACATGATTGTCAACCATGTCTGTACAACTAGCTTTATTACTTATTGTATTATGTAATATTGCAAAAACACAATAGATAAACACGATAATGAACAGTTATTTTTTTATTTTCTATTGCTTCTTAGCTCATGTTTGAATTTGCTAATAATTAGGTTTTCAATAAATTTTCATAAAAATTAATGAAACATCTAGTTGAAAAATTGAAAAAAGTTGTGGGTAACATGAAACATGTGATTAATATTATTGTTAACTTTGATAAAATTTAATGAAATGTCTAATAAAGTAACACCCTCCTTATTACAGACCCATTTTGTAGGACTTTTGAAAAATCAAAAGTTACTTCTAAGACTATAGATGAAATCGATTTTGAACATATTTAAATAGTTTTTTGGAAGTGTTTTACCTAACTTGAAGAAGTAGAAATATTGTCAAACTGACTCAAAAATATGTTTGCAAGTGTTTAAACTTTAAAAACTCTTGACATTAAAAAACAAAAACAAACCAACAATAACAATAAAGAGTTTTTTTTTTTCTCCAATAAATATTAAGTCAACTATATGATTATTTTTTTTATTTTTTTTAAATCAAGTGTTGGATCAATGAAAAATATTCGGAAAGATCTAGAGCGATTAATATTGCAAGTGAAAGTAGAGTGTCATCTTCTAGGGTTTGATTAGATATTATCACTCTGCGTAATAAGCCAAAAGAGAAGAATTTTATGCTATAATATCTTTTCATTGCCGCCATCACTTTCTTCCGGTTAGGCATATGTCGCCACACAGTGACTATGTATCTTATAGACTTGGCTCTATTATTTTAAAATATAATTAGATTAAAATATTCCTACTACTTGGCATCTTGAACTTTCACCTACTAATTTTAAGTCATTAAAGATATAAAGCATGCAAATAATTGTCAGACACAACCTTTTTCGTGCGATTTTAACTATTATTTATGGGACATATTGGTGATAATAATGTTAATCAGGAACACCTAAGACTGTCATTGACATACTTGAGATCCCAGTAGTGGAGTTAATTATGCACCTTCGAAAATATCTGTTAAATTTCATGACCAGATTCAGACAATCTGAAAGAGTCACTAGTTGTCCTAATTAAGCCATCTTTTCTGACACTTTGAGGTTGATTTATCAACTCGTCTATCATAAAATGGTCGATTGTGTCATCTAAAATTACAAGCTATTAAAAGGTTGTGGGTATACACTTAAAACTTTTTTCAGCGGAAATCAATGCTATGACATAGTCAAAACTCTAAAAATCGTCCACATGTTAGGAAACTTCCAACATTTGATGATTATTCCAGAGCGATTCCTCCAAAAATATGGAATAAGAAATTGGGACTTAATACTCCTAGTAGGAGGCTATAATCGATCAAGGTATTGGTATGAAATAATCTATTAATCTCGTGACCAAATTCTAACAATCAAGGTCTATGCTCAAAACCTTTATATCATATGTATCGTCCCATTTGGGAGAGTCCGTATCCATTTTACCTCTTCTGATTTTCTATCTTGTTCGTCAAGATTCAAACTCAAAATTTTTGCCTTACGAAACACTATAGTTAAAACCTGATATCAATTGAGTAAGCCGTGAGGCATAAGATAGACACACGCTCTCCCAAAATGGATAATTAACATGCATAATATAATGGTTTGGCATAAGCTCGAATTGTTATACAATCTGTTCCCAACCCATACCAATTAGGGTTTGATACATGGAAAAATGTTATCATTGTTGGAATGTTTTCAATTATTTCAAGTTACTCCATTGTTTTCTTTAACATGTGTGGTCTTTTTCATATTTATTAATTATATGTGATGAAATATATATCTACTTGTTGGCCATAATTTGGGAACATGGCTAAGGGCCTCACCACCTGGGGACTGGGGTCCAATGCCATGCCTGATCTTCATCTATACACTAAATTAAGTGATTGAATTTTAAATTCATTCCCCCATGCAAATTTTAATAAATTTACATGTAAAGGTGGAGTTATGAGTATCAAAGAAATATCATATGAACACATCTGGAGCTTTTATAGTACCAGCTTTGTCTATTGATACTCTCCATTTTAGCTTTCTCAAGTCTGTGTTTTCATCATTGTTAATTTGCTCCTTTAAACTATATAGACTTGAACTTGTGATCCTTTAAATTAATTCACAAGAGGGTGTTTAACTATTTATAAATTTGCAAATCAAGTCTTAATTTAAAGACGTTAGATACAACTAGTCAAATTTGAACGTGCATTGTACGTTATTCTAAAATACTTTATAAGTGATGTAAAAGTAATATTTAATATCAATTTGTTCGAGGATTTGATGAGTCTCGAACGAATTAAAGAAAATAAAATTTAGCATAGAATTTAAGAGAAGAAAATTGTACTCTCAGAATTCTATTTTTATGATTCAATTTTTTTGTAATGATGAAATATTATAAATGAGCAATCTTTTTATATTGCATTTGATAAATAAAAATTAATTGTTAATACATAAATTTAAACACACATTAAATTTTATAAATTAATCTATAATAACTCTATATTCATGAAACTCAAGATTCATTAGTGAAAATTCATTGAATTTAGGTTAGATGAATGCTAATTAATTGATAATTAATAATATAAATTTCATAAATGATAATAATTATGTAGTATTTATTACATATCGAAAAATCAAAAGTACAGTATTATTGAAATAATTGAATTGTAGGGAGGTTGAAATCGTCCAAAAAATGATTCTCTCTTGATGTGATATTTTAATAAATATTATTATTATCGATGAGAATTATTTCATTTCAATCCTTATTTTGGAACCCACTCCTACAACCACCACTTAAGTAGCCTCATCCTTACAAGGGGAAGGGGTCAGGTGATCATTATAACTCAAGAAACCTAAACCTTAGGTTAGCGATACAAGTAGAACTAGGGCGTTACTAACAATCCCTATTCGTAAATGAGTCACTTCGCAAATGACTATTTTGTTGGATATTGGTTAAATAAATCGAGAATTGAAAATCGATTAAAGTTCGTATCGACTTCGGTCAAATACTCAAAAGCTCGACTCAATCCGTTTAGGAAAAATTGTTTGTCACTTCGCCGCTTCGGGGCGCACAAACGGGGATCAACCTGACCGGTCAGGTCGCGGGGGTCGAGGGGGCAGCGCCCCTGGTGGGGGGTCGGGGGCAACGCCCCCGAAAGAGAATTTTGATTTCTCTGCATGTATTGAAGGGTATATTTGGCATTTCGAAAACCAATATCGGATGAATGAGAAATTACGAAAAAGGCCTCAACCATTAGTGAATAGACACCTTTTCATAAAGGTGCATTGTCTGGAAAGGGTGCATGGTTTGACCTCAACCATTTCGTCCACACCCTTTCATGGTCTATAAATAGGACCATTTGGGTGTCCTATTCCACACAGTTTGATATGCAAAAACGTCTCTCATCCTCTCTTCTATCCAAAATCAAAATCATTTCATTTATTTTGATTTTCTTTCATTTCATCCTTGGAGTACATAAGCCTAAATTTGGTTCGTTGTACTTGTGTTTTGGAGTGCTACAAACACAAGTGTAGCCGTTGTATCTTGGGAGTCGATTGTCAAAATCCGTAGGCACCGTTGCGGGGCAAATTCGACTTAAGGACAAAGAGTCCAACTCTTGCCTCGGCTTTGTCACCATCATTATACTTATTTCGGCGTCACTATTCACAAAATTCTTCCAACATATTTTACTAGAAGTAAACATCCCGTGATCGCTCCATATGTAACTATAATCCTCAGAGGCGTGCAATATATATAAACGTAGGGCACATGGAGGATCGAAAGGGGTATGAAAGGACCTCATTAGCTGCAAATTTTAATTAGTTCACGGGTCACAATTATATGTAACGTTATTTTCTGCCAACTGTAACTTATAATTATTTACCAAAACGTTAAAACTTCAGACATTAATATTGGAAATTAATCCAATAATAATGATGGTTTGTATTATGTTGCTGTTAGTACTGAATATGGATTTAATTACTTTCACAGAAAAAGGGGAATGCAAAGGGTCACACAAGAAAGTTACTGCTTCGCATTATTATTCCCTTGCTTTTGTTCAAGTATAGGTGAGTTGGTGGCTGATAACCACTGGTTTTTAATTCATGGGGGACCAACTTTCACTGCCACAATTAATCATCTTAATGGATAGAAAACAAAAAAATTTATTACCTTGTGTTTCTAATTTATGTGCTATTCTCGACCTTTGACTAATGAGAGATTTAAGTTGAATCTTGCTACCAATTCGATAAGAGAACGGAAAAATTGGGAAATTGGTTTGGTTATAATTTATAAACCAAACATGAAAAACTCATGATGAAACTCAAGTAACACTGCCTATTGAGAGCATATCTCAGGGTTTGAAGTGTCGAACTAGGATCGAACCAGGAGTATAAAATATTAAAACAATAAAAGGAAAATAAAATTTTAAGGTGAACGAACTTGTTTACCCTAAGAAGTTTTACATTTTTGACTTTATAGGTCTAACTGGACTGGTTCTCAATTTTCTAATTGAACTCGTTAGTCAAATTCGATTTTCAAAACATTGCGTATATTACTGTGCATTGTTATCTTTTTCTAGTCGATGAGATGGGGTTTATAACATAGTCTAACCTGCCATAAAGTAACAGTTTAAATGCCTAAAACGGTTAGATTAGCAGATTGAAACGTGGTGGAATTGCCTGATACCTTCGTTGCCTGGTCAACCAATAACCATTGATCCCAAGGGAATAATAATAATAATAATAATTGAGCTATTTTTATTATTTTGCTGCATTCATTCTATTCATGTTTATTATATATTTATTTCTTAATTTGTTTTGCCATTTGAAATTTTCAATATGGGCCTGTCAAAGACATAAAGAAATAAACCTTCAAAGTTTCTGTCTCAAAGTTCCATTTTTTCCTCTGTCCTAAGATGCAAATTTTTAGGTAAGAGAATCATATTTAATTCATGAATATGGGCCTGTCAGTAACCTTGATTTCCATTGTCTCTCCTCTCATTTATCATCTTCTTTAAAATACTTCCAGGCTCCAGTTCTATCTCTCCTTTCTTCTGCAGATAGCCACAACTAACAGTATGAGAGATTTTGCATCTTGTTTTAGTGAATATGCAGTGCAGGTTTCTGATACATCATGTTCAAGTTATTCAAATAATTCTTGTATTTCTCCTAATCTGATCCCTTCAGTTCAAAATGCTGTCAAATGTTTATATAGAATCACACTCTCCACTCAGAAGCAGATTTTGATCACAATCACATGGTGCAAGAGCAGTTTGACTCAAGGTCTTAATATAACCTTTGGTGACGATCAATCAAGCGCCTTCAAACTTAATACGAATTCACGTTTATTCAGAAAGTTGAAAGGCAGCAAATCAATTGAATTCCAGAATAATGAAATTGAGGTTTTCTGGGATCTTTCTGCAGCCAGGTACTCTACAGGCCCTGAACCTGTTGATGGATATTACGTCTTTATCACAGTCGATTCAGAGCTAGGCCTAATTTTTGGAGATATGGCTCAAGAAGCTTGGACGAAAAAGCTCAAAAATGGCACTCCAATGGCGAAATCCTCATTAATTTCACGCCAAGAACATTTCTCTGGAAATACCCTTTACTCAACTAAGGCTCAATTCTGCAATACTGGTGCTGTTCACGACATTTTGATACGTTGTAGTGGAGAAAACGAAGGCCTAAAGTATCCGGTCTTATCAGTTTGTATCGATAAGAAGATTGTAATTCGCATAAAGCGCTTGCAATGGAACTTCAGAGGAAATCAGACAATTTTCTTGGATGGTCTGCTCATTGATCTCATGTGGGATGTTCATGATTGGTTCTACAATCCAGCCTCAGGATATGCTGTGTTCATGTTCAGGACCAGAAGTGGTATGGATAGCAGGTTGTGGTTAGAAGAGAAGCAGTTGCGGAAAGATCAAGATCAAGTTGAATTCTCACTATTGATCTGCGCCTGCAAAAACTTATAGAAGACAAATTTTATGGTTTTTTTTACTTCTCTTGTTTCTTTTACAATATTCTCGATATATTTTTTATATTAATAGTTTGATCTTGACAAACTGACAATAACTTGAACAATGTAAACTCTTATTCCTTCTTTTTCTGTTTTTGAGGTTTGAAACTGCAAGTGCTAGATTGATATCATGTATTTTATATGTCCCATTAATTCTTTTTTCTTCTTTTACATTTCCATATTTTAGAGTGATTCAATACCTTTGATTTCTCTAATAAATTGGTTAGAGTGCTTATACACATGTAAAAGAGGGTAAAATTTTTATTTTTACAAAATTTTCAGGGCCATGTGAGGCAAAAAGCTTACACAAGACACCAAAATAATCAATTAGAATTTTCAAATATTTGAAGATTGCTATATGTGCTTTTATCATTTTCCAAGAAAGGTCACCATAACCCTGAAAAGGCAATAACAAAGTGGAGAATCTTCTGAAAAAGGGTCTAATTAGTCAGTTAGTCTTTATATGGGCACAATTCTTCTGTTATGTATTCTGATCTTTGAACGGTTTGAACCAGAAGTTAGGCAAACCATAAAACAAACTACACTACATGGTTTCGTCCATAAGTTGGCACCCAGAATTTAGGCAAAACAAATGGCTTGACAGAGTATATCAGAACCCTTTTGCATTATCTTGGGACCACATTCATGGGACCCTTAAGTCTTAACTTTTGCACTGGAACTCTATTAAGGCAAGGCTAGGAGGAGCCAATTTGTTGTTTCAAAACATGAACAGTTGTTACACATGATCCTTGAATGTTATGAGCTGCACTATTATTACATTTCATCACACTTCTGGCTGAAAGCCGTTAACTGTACTTCCATCTTCAGTTCCGTAGGATAGACTGTATAAAGAAGTTAAAATCTTGTCTATTTTACTCTTCAGATACGTCGAGTACTGCGTACTGAATATGCATATAATCTCATTAGTCAGCACAGGGTGGCTCTGGGGCATGTCCAAGTGTCGTGATTGGGTCATTAACTAAATTTAACTTTAGCAACTCTGTAATCTGTAGAGGAATGTCAAGGCCTCAAGGGAGTAGGGTCTATTGATTATTTTTACTTATTTCTACTTTTTTTGTTTAAACATATTCAGCTGCCATTTAACTTACCTAACTCTTGGCCCAAGAACAACCACCAGTTGGATCTAGAGCTTCAAAGTTCGTGCAAGGGAATGATATTAAAAAAGCCATAACTAACTCATGTTGAACATTGAAAATTCCAAGTGGTACTTTTAATATAACTCAGAGTTAATGGTTTCTTGGACGAAGTTTATGTAGGTCAGAGTGGGATTTAAGCAATTCATTGCTTCTTATTGAATAACAAATTCCCTTTTTGGTTTTGTAAGGTTTACTCTTGGTCCTCTGGACAAGAATTCAAAGCTCTTTATAAACAATACAAAAATAATGCAATTGGAAATTCAAGGGCATGATGCTTAGATTCAATCATCGTGAAATGACCTTCTGCAAGGAGGGATAAATACAGCTAAAAATTTATGCGTGCAAATGTATAGTATTGTACTACTGGTCACGTGTTATTGAAGTTTGGACCTTACTACATGTACATTAAAATTTATATAAGTGATTACGTAATATCCATAAGATACTCTACCGTTTGCCAATTTAAACCACAGTCAACTTTTTCATTCAATCTTTTCCCTCCACGTCATTTTCGATAACTGTTTATGTACTATTTTTATATACAAGAAGCATAATCATTGAAGTTTATGGATACTTACCAAAAGTGAAAAATTAAAAACTTATTTAATTTTTTTGCATGTTCGAAATTTCAAAAAGTTTCAATTTTCAAAACGCATCTAAAATGAATATGTAAAATTCATAAGTTCTCATGACGGACAAGTTATGCTTAGAAGGATTAGCAACACAACTTAGTTAATGTTCAGCAACAAATTTTTTTGAGTTATGCTGCTAACTGACAGGGTTTGTGGACAAGGTTGGTGACACCTGTGTGATTTCTTTTTTTCTTTTTAAATCATTCAATTAAATGTTGACATGTGTTCATATTTTTAAATCCTATCAACAACTTTGTTTATCTAGCATAACTCAATTTTTTTCTTTCTTCTCTTGTCAGTATTACAGGACCAGTGATGGCGACTGGTAAGCCAGTTATGCTTTCAAAATAATGGTCCTTTCCCCAAAAAAAAAAAAAAAAAAAAAAAAGGGTTGAACCCCAACCTTGAGGACCCCTTCATCCCGTCCCAATAAGGCGTGAGAAAACCTCACTCCTGTTTTTTGCACCACTAAGCTATGCCCCAAGGAACAAATAATGGTCTTTTTCGCATGGCCAGGTGGTGAGTGCTATTTTGTCAGTAAGGGTTGAGCAGCCATAAATTAGGGTATGTTTGTGAGTGATTTTGAGAATTGATTTTTTGATCGTTAGAAGAAAAGTAGAATCCACCCCGTAAAAGAAGAAGTCAAATATGACGGTTGAAATAGTGAAATAACGATCAAAAAATTAATTTTTTGAAGGGGGAATCGCTCCCAAACATGCCCTTAATTAGAAGTCATCTTCTCTTTCAACTTAGTTTTGGTGTCAAACATTTGCTGGTGCTGTTGTTTTGTTATGCCCTTGTTTGAGCCCCATTTTTTTTAAAAAAAATATATTTTTCAATAGTATTTTGATGTCATTCAACCACATATTTTTCAATAAAATAATTGTTAGGAAATATGTAATTGGCAAATTTGTGACCAAGGACCAAAATGTAATAATTGTAAAGTCAAGGATTAAAATGTCATAATTGTAAGGTCAAGGACCAAAGTGTCAAATGTCCAATAGTTCAGGGACTTGAGTTGCAATTAATCAAAGTGTTGAAGGCTAGGTCTAGGGTTGTGATGGATGCCTCGAGGTTGCAAACGGCGCGAGATTTCGCTAGAGTCACGCCATGATCTCGCTCGAGCCACGATTGCAGAACCACTGTCGCTAGACCCTCGCCAGCAGGTCGCTCGAGCGAAGTGGACGTTGCTCGAGTCACGCTGGTCCCTCGCTCGAGCGACCTATTTATCTGGGCAACATTAAATTTAAAAGCTCGCGAATTTTTGACGCGCCACAAGACCATATGTTGAGCCCTATAAATACCATTCGTCTCCTTCGAGTTGAAGATTGAGGAAATACACATTGAAGCCATATTATTGATTCTCTCTAAAATCCTTGGAGATCAAAATCCTCGAAAAGCTTTTGTTGAAAAACTTTTCTTTAATCTTTCATATTCCTTGGAGATTAATCCTTTATATCTTTCACACCAATGTTCAAAAAGCCAAACAATCTTCTAAACTTTTCAGATTAAAAATCCTTGGCTTTTGCAGAAAAACATCACACCCTGAAACACCAAAACACCACCTTCTCTAAATCCTATAAAACTTCCAGAAGATCCTCAGATTGAAGATCCGGGAAGAACTTGCTTGAAGAGCGGGAGTGCTTGATGATTCACGGGAAGTAGAAGTCACACATGACTGGGATGGTAGCACAGATCTGCTAGATCCAGGAGAGTCTTGTTCTCAAATAGTAAGGAGGTCAGAAAATTGAGGGGATCAATTGTTCTGACGTACTGTAAGTTATCTTCTACAAATAGTGGATCTCTACTGACTTGTGCCCGGAGTTTTTACCCAGTTGGGGTTTCTCCGTCAACATTCGTTGTGTTCTTTTATTGCTTTAATTTATTTATTGTTACCCGTAATTCAACATAGGTAATTAAGACATGTGAATGAATCTGGACAAACTTTAATTCTTGTGACTTGTTGCACGAATTAATTGATAAGTTTTTTTTAATTCAGCATGAACACCTATTCACCCCCCCTCTAGGTGTTAGTTGGGTCGAACGTTAGGTTTTTCAATAATATTACATGCAAATTCAAAACTTTTTCTTATTTTATAACCACACATTTTTCATTAATACACTATTCAAAAATTCATTCTTCTCCAAAAAAATGGGATTCAAACAATTCGTAGGATGGCAATCGGCCGTGACAGGTATTAAATTATCCCCACTTTTTTCCCGATATGCCCTTTAGTGTAAATTCAGGACGGGGATCCCCTCCCCCGATCATGCCCAATTTCGGAAATTCACGCCCCATTCCAGTTGGAACATTTTGCCATCCCTATTTTCAAAATTTAGATGCATTTAGTTATTATTTGTACATTTTCATTCTTTTATCTAGCCGAAAATGTAGGGATTTTTTTTTCTTTTTTTAATATTGGAGAAGGTATGTTAGAAATATTCTTTTCATGTTCTAGTTTCATATAGAAATTGAAGTTATTTGTCTCACATTAAAAATAAAAGGTTATCCGACATCTTTTCTTGGTGGTCGGAGATTTGGGTTTGTGGTGATTTTGAGACAGGATATGGTTGAGGCAGGGTCGTGATGGTGATGATGATGGAGGAGAGAGAGTTGTTATGATGGTTGATGTGGTATAGCTATAGTTTTTGATTATAGAGTCGTATTTTTCTAAATGGTGATGGGTGATGGTTTCAAGTGTTTCGTACTGGTTGTTGGTTTCGCTTATCGATGTAATGCATTTTTGGTGGATGGTGATGGTGGTGGGTGTTACAAATATAAAAATAAAATAAAATCATACGCATTTTAACAATTATAATACATAGTCAACATGATCTAAAATGTAATTAACACAGTATAAGTTACAATTGTTGTAACTTATTAAATGTGGGGTTTCTATACAAAAGTTACATTCACGCCAAAAAATTACAAATTGGTAAGATGCAAAAAATTACATACCAACAAAACGTAACAAATTTTTATCAGGTCGTTGTAAGGATACCATTCTTATAAAGATTTTTCAACTTGATCCCCTAAATATTGAACATTTCTGTAACTAACCCATTTGTTCATAAAAAAACTTCCCCCAAAAATTTATTATACTTCATAAAATTAATCCAATAAAAGATTTAGCCTGGCCCTTGTCTAGTCCAGTTCACACCAAAATTTAAATCTAGTGCCCACCCTACATTCAAGTTTGTGATAAATAGACTATCTTTTAATCATTATTGAGAATTCCCGTATTCTTATCTTGTTATACATACTTGAACGATTTCTATCTCAGTATTTTATACCCTTTTGTGCTTATTCGGGGCGGGGGATTATAATGAGATTACAATAAAAAGAAGTAATGGGCCCATGAAAACTATGTCCGTTGGTTATAAATGTGTCATTAAAATTTATATATACTTCAACTTAAAAGGAAATCAAATAAGCACTTGTGGGTTTGAATGTATTTGGCTTGTTGCCGTCAACTTTGAATCGTCGTATTAAAAATCTTGAAATAAATTGAGACCAAGGGGAAGTTGGACCACATAAACAAGTGGACATCCCCACAATATCGTTCAAATTACAGCAGAATTCAACCATCTTCAGTCGAGGACTAAATGAAGTAATTGTGACTATAGCTGAAGAATTCCAACATACATTTTGTTTACCATTCTTATGAATGCATAAATGGATACTTGTCTTGTTGCAACATTGCAAAGGCAAAGCATTGGGACAATTGAAATTAGATCTCTAGAAGTAGTCAAAAGAGTGCAAATCTAGAAGTAGTCGAATCGTATACTTTTGTTCAAATCTCCTCAATTAACTCACTCCTATAAAATGGTAGTTCTTTTGAGAACATCAATCTTGAAATATATATGATTGTTTGAGTCTTTATCAAATTGTACGATTGAACTTAATGAACTCGAATACTGTATTGAGACTAGAGATTTTATCTTAATGGTCAATATTGTTACGGAAAATAACCCAAACGTGTATGCACGTAATTGGTGTCTTGGTAGGCCCGAAAATAAATCATATTGGATTTGTCAAAGATAAATATCCTATGCTCAGCATGCTAAAACTTGTTCCGAACCGCCTCTTCTAGCTCCGATAAATCGTCAAAAAATCATTTAAAGCCCAAAATATCTTTCTAGTCCAAAAATAATTATTTTCACAAAATATATCATGTATTTCCAAGAACTCTGAAATTTTCATCGTTAGTATTCCCCGTTCGTCTCAATGCTAAATTCTCCTGTTTTAGCCCCAAATATCTGATTTTGAGTACATGAACAACAACAACAATAATAATAAAAATGATTTTTGCACACCTTACATTTTAATAAATATTCGGCTAAAATTTGATTTTGAGTATATGAACAACAACAACAACAACAATAAAAACTATTTTTACCCACCTTATACTTTAATAAATATTCAGCTAAAATGTTATTTTCAAATATTTTCACTCAAGCCCCTGAAGAATTACAAATCTTTCATTTTGGTTGGAACTTTCTAAATCTTTTCAATTAGGTTCTTGCCCGAAATTAGAAATCTCAGGGTGTTATAAGAAGATTTAATCTACAACATTATAAATTACAATCATGCTACACATCTAGGCTCAAATCCAGATGGAACACGTGTTGACGCATGATTGGACAGTTTGAAAATTTAAAACAAGAACACTGAATCATTTTCTGACACATCAGTCTATCTCTTCACTCGCTGTTTTTAAGCCTAATTAAGTGACTTTATTCTATAAATTAAAAGGTTCGTTCTCAAAATTTTTTAAGTCTTCTATTACTTAATTTTAAGAGAGCCTGTTTATTACTTTTTATTTTTGTTAAGTATCCTTCTGGTCCCACCAGTTTAGCTTTGCTTTCATTGATAATTGTTTATTTCCTTCAAGGAGATGTGATATTTGAATGCTCCCCATGCTTTGATCATTTTATTTCGAGTAAATAGGTCTGTCTTTTCAAGGATACATTTTAGGCTTCACTGGGCATGCTTAGGCAGGGGCAAATTCAGAAATTTATGTCGTTTGAACCTAAGAAAATTCATAGGCTGTTAAAAACGTCATTAAATGATGTAAGTATATTTTAAAATACATAAAAATTTTCCGATCTATAAAACAATACTTTTACATATATTCTAAATTTCTTGAAAACAAAAGTTAGTCAATAAAGTAAAATTGCATTATTGGTTCCATGCCATTGTCATTGTATTAATGCAACGATATAGCTCGTCTTAGCTTTAAACAATTTATTATACTTGCTACGATAATTTTAAACAATTTTAGACAATAAATCTACAATAGTGGATGACGAGACTAGAACTAGATTCAGGATGAGCTAATTCTCAATGTTATCAAAACCGCCCAGGCCCATTCAACCGGGAACCGGGCATAAAAGCGGGTCAATCATTCCCGATTGACCACTTAAGATTAAACTGCTTAAAAACCCCCCATTGAATCAGGCGGCCTAACTGTAAACTGGTCACAATTTTGTGGTTTTCCCAAAATTTATCTATTTATTTATTATTATTATTATTTTTAGTTTAAAAAAATTTCAACTTCATAAATGGGCCTCATAAACAACAATTCAAATACTCATAGAAATATTGGATGGCATGCTCATTTTATTTATATACCTCTCAAATGGTTTCATGTACTTCTAATGTAGAATAGTGACATAACAAAAATGTTAACAAATTATAGGATAATGAATTTAATTAACAAATTATTAATATGAATTTTAAAAAAAATTATTGTTTTGATAGTATTTTATTATTTTTGTATGTAATTATTGTATCTGATTCGACCCCGGTTGAACTTTTTGACCCTTCACTTTTTTCGGGTTAATGAACGGGTCGATTTTGAAAACATTGCTAATTCTTTTACCCTCGATCTTTATTTCACATGAACGAGACACGATGCAAAATTAACAACATGAATAGAAAGAAACTGTGAAAAATAACCATATGCTCAACTATCCAAAAAATTGAAGGTGTCACCATCAAGAATGGAAGATTAGAGACCATTCGCGCACATGGGCCATACATTAGCGCAAATTCCAAAAAATAAAGCAAAAGAAGATTCATGAAATCAGTATTACATTTCATTAAAAGAAGATAAAGGATGATCACCACTAACCATCCCTTCTGTCTGGACATTGGAGGTAGGTTTACGTCTGAACTGCCTTATATGAAAATTATGTACATAGAAAATGACAGCACACAATTTAAATAAATAAATTTGTCGTGTCTCTAAGCAACTGAGCATTTCTTCCAAGTTGTTCGACTGAATCTAGTGTCATTCGGGTTCACAACGATATTTGAAGTTTCGGAGAGAGAAGAAAATAAAACAACCTCAAAAGGCCGGCAAATAGTCCTTTAAAATGAGGAAAATAAGTGGAGAAAAAACAATGTTACACCAAGGCTTCAGAACTGCACCAACTGAAATCACCTTATCCTCTGAAAATGCATTACATATGAAAAGTTAACAACTTTCAGTACAAAAACAAGAGAGTTCGGAAGACGATAGTAAGAACAAAAATGATACTTGTCCAGGGAAAATGCACCGTCAGTTTAATAGTAAGATGGTAGCATATGATTGACTATTTTAATTACTCTCACTGTTCCATTTATATAGACTATAGTCTCGTCTCTTTATTAAGAATATTTTGTTTTATTTGTTTATTAATATATCCTAATTTAATTTGTTTAAATATAATCAATTTTTTCTGCTTAATTCTGAAATTGTACAGATACAAATAAAGATAAACTAAAAAACATTTTTGACAAAAATTAACATTTTCAATAATATGAAATAAGTTATCTTAATTCATGTGAAAACAAAACCTACCTAAGTAAAATGGGGACGGACGGAGTATATATATTTTTTCAAAATTCAATGAAATATTGTCATGTGACATTATTTTCCCCATACATGTAGCGTTGCTCAAGTAAGAAATAAAGTATTGGAAGAAGCTTACTGCACTCTTTTGGATGGCAAACGCATCTTAACCCAGCTCCACAATTTCCATCAGGCTTTTTACACTCATCGCAAGGATTCGGCACATGAACCGGAATATGATCATAACAAATTGAGGAATTTTGTTCTGAGCATGAGTGTATGTTCCTTATACTATCAATATACCTCTCGGACTCGGTGGTTTCTTGAGATATAGATTTCGGAAAGAAAATGCTCAGTAAGATGAGAAGAAATTGAAGGAGATAGATTTTCTGGAAGCTGTGCATTTTGTTTCTTTTCTTTCTCTGTTGATCATCTAACTGTAAAGAAGACTCTGGGGGGATTGGGGTGTTTTTAAGGAGTGGAAAAGCATTAAAAGCCTGCAAAGAGTATTACTTGCTGTCCCATCAATAATCACTAAAGTGATTCCTTATGGGTAGGGGAAAAAATACTTTTGACTACGAAATATTTTAAGCTATATTCATTTTTATATAGACTTTGACATCCTTTCTCGTGATAGTCATCATAATCTTTGATTTTTTCAACACCTTTCACATCACTGGTTAGATTTTGACGCATATGAAAGATATCATCTACAATGTATACTAAAATGTTCATCTAGAATAATTCGAAATATTTCCCTTACTTTGAGGTATTTTCAAGTCCTCGCATAATATATGGTTTTTGTTATGTAAAAACCATAATATATGATTTTTCCTTACTTTGACGTATTTTCAAGTCCTCGCATAATATATGGTTTTTGTTATGTAATATATGGTTTTTGGGGTTCAACCTTTGAGAATAGGTAACAGATATGAGATAAGAACAAGAATACAGAATTTAAGTAGAAATTCAAGACGGGAAAAGTTACGCATGCCCTACAAGAACACAAAATATAATATATATGACACTCACTTTATTTTCAAATTAAAAGATAAAAAAACATATACAGAGAATGAGATGAACACTAGAATAATGTCCACATGTCCTGTTGCTATTGTGACTTCATGGCCGATCTTATCAGGGGCGGAGTCAGGAAATTTGTTTAGTGCAGACATAATTTAACCCACGTCGAATATTGAGTTTTGGTCATTAATTTAATGATGATAAAACTATAAAATTAAAACCAAAAATGACATAGTAAGTAAAAGTGTTCCTTGCAAGTTTTCATATTTTGACAAGTGAAGTCTAAATCAACATATGCCTAAAATCAAACAAAATCATGGGATATTGCTAATAATAATAATAATAGTAAAAAAAAGGTTTGGGTCTAAAAATTCCCAACATGGCTCCGCCCCTAGATCTTACTACGATCTTGTTTGGTCCCCATTATTTTCAATTTTCAAAATGTATTTTTCTCTTATTTTTAACCACACATTTTTTAATAAAACAATATTACATGCAACTATATATTCTTCATCAAAATGTATTTTCATATTTGAAACAAGCATAGATCATTATCAACTTCGATTTTTTTCCCCCACTTGGTAATATCCAAAAAAAGGTGATTATCCCTTCATTAATGGATTGATTGAGCTTTTTGGCATTGATTTTTCTTATCGAGTTCTTATCTTTTCGTTCAAAATTTCTTTCTTCACACTAAACCACTTGTAAAATTATTAAATTAGAATAATATATTTATCATTAACGGTCTTGACAACCATCAAAATTCAATGTGAAATTTGTCAAGGCAAGGCATCTTTTTTCTAAAGTTGGATTGCTTGCACTATTCTTTAATTTCTAAAGTGGAATCCTACGCATGTTGGTGGACTTTTGATTTCCATCCCATGTGTTCTCAAGGTAGGAATCTTAAGTGGGGACGATACTGACGTGAGCTGAACAACAATTTTCTCGAGCCAGCTCGTGTGTGAGCCAATTCACCACCGTCTTGTCAATATGAGTAAACTACGCATTTCCAGCAAATAAAATAAAAAATAAAAAATTCGATCCAACTCGACTTGCCCCGCCCCACCAATGGATGAGCATGTGGGGCTGGCCGAGCCATGCTTTGTTTGAGCGAGCAGGATCGCCCGGCGAACCAAGCCCCCTATCCTAAGGTACAATTCAAATACTTGAAAATACTGAAATAATACATCCAATTTAGTACTAGGTCCACATACACTAGCGAACAACAGGAATCAAATGAAAATTTCATCTGCAAGTTAAATACATATAATGACAAACAGATTCTATCCTTAAAAATATAAGGGTTATATCGATCGCATTATTTCATAAGTTGAGTCAATCTAAACTAGACTATTAGTTCAGTTTAAATACGATTAAACGAGTTCGAAGTCAATTATCATTCTTAAGAAGCTGGAATAAGGTTGATATGAAAAGAAGAAATAAGCTTGCTCCACAATTAAAGCCTCAGAAATATCATTGTTCACCAAATTCTTGTTTAAATACAATATACAAGATTAAGAGTTCAGAAAAATGAGATTTTGGAATTACTGCATAGAACGGTTGTGGGACAATTCTACATAGATGCCTGACTTTTTTAGCCGAGATACTCGTTTTCGATGGCTACGTCCCTGTTGATGTTGTTCCCATTCATGTCCCCCTCTAAGCACCTTATTCCCACATGCCTACAGTTCACAACTTGGCTGTCACAAAGAAAGAGAAAAACACAAGGGGGCTGGGTACGAGAATACTAGAAGCATCACTTACCTTACAAATATATTGAGTCCAAAGGTCCCTGTGTGCCGATTTCATCACTTCGCAATCACTCCTGGCCTCTTCCATATTGTTCTTATCAAGGAAAGATTTTATAATTTCAAGTGACGGTTCAACCACATCCACAATCCATATATCATCTGAAGCGCCTGCACACAGCATATCACCGTGATTCAATTTAATCACTAGAAGTTAAATTACTTCATAAAACACAAACAATTTATCTATATAAATTTAAAAAATAATAAAATAATAAAAAATCTGGAAAACCTACTTAATAAGCACCCAGTGACATCAACATAATGAATATTCCATTCAAACAGCATTTGCAGTCTGCTAAGCCTTCTCTTCTGAGAAAGACAAAAATATTAGAAATAAAACATTGAATGTGACATTTTAGAACATACTTTCTTACTGCTCTTACCAAAGCAAATTGAAATCCACAAGAATAATCCTGATTTCTCTATAAATTTGTGCATGAAAACTTACTACATATCCTCGAAATTAAAAGAAGCACACTGATGAATAGTCACATGGTGACAACGATGCAAGAAGATTGGTTTCTGAAGCCGGAATTAATTATTTTTTTTATAAAAGGTTACAACAACTGATAATGGATAAAGCAGAATTTGATAGCCCTTTTGCAAATGTCTCAAGGAAAGCACAAAAGAAGTTCTACAAAATAAGCCGAGGAGTTAAAAAGTGCAGGAGCAAAATTTTAGTTGATGAACACGAAGGAAGGAAAACCAAATAATATTCACAACAAAAATGCATGAAAATTGACAAGTCTGATATTCAACAATAACCCATAGATAAAAATTGGAAATGTGCTAAGAGAGTTTCACATGATGATTTCTGCATGGGTAGTCACCTTGAATATGTAGAAAATGTTGCTGTAGCATCATGCTGTGGGAAACTAGCATGAGTACCGAGAGGTGAAATTGAAAACAGTAAAACGCTTGTAAAAGTGGAATTGTAATACTACTAACAATGTCTCCGAGAACATTCAGCCAGGTTAGCAAATAAAAACTATCCCTAAACAGAGGATGTATTTTGTAGATTTCCCTAGAAAATTTTGCTCTGACCAAATGCAAGGCAAATTTCACGTCTTTTATGGAAAGGAAGGAGTGTCTATTGTCTGCCCGAACATTCAGTCATCCTTGTTTGTCATTTCAAATTATAGGTAAGAGGAAATACACCTTAAATGTCAAAGGAACAAAAATATGTAGTATAAAGATAGTCTTCTTACTTGACGACGAACGAGTCTTCTTGTGTTTAATTTCACTTTATCAATAGCTTCTGTTAATAGAATCTTTTGTTGGTTCTCAATGGGGGAGTCCATGATTTGCCGCATGATTTCCTTGAATTGCTTAGCATTTGAATTTTGAGAACAGACAGCTTCACTAGGATTTTGACATTCAGAAGTACATCGTCTTAGAAAATCTTCAAATTCCCGGACACCAATTGCTTGTCGTAAACCTCGTGTATAATCAGCATTTAACTTGTAAATATCAAAAACTTCTTCAAGTAGACCAGCATCTATCATGCAATCAACTCTTTGATCTACATATTGATCCAATGCTAGAACAGATGCATCCAGACATATAAAACAGCAATCATATCTGAAATTATTAGCTCGGCCCCAGTTCTGCCCTGGCACATTTAAACATAAGAAGATTAAACAGGATGTTACGGTCCACAAGATGGTATTATCTTATTTAGTCCACTAAAATCTGAAGCTGTATAATAGCAGGAATGTAAGCAGAGACTGCTGTAATTTGTAAAAACGAAATAACTAAAAGGACAGCGAAACGCAGTAAGTTGATTCAAGTTACTTGCTAATATTAAATAAAAAGAAATAACATATTTCTCCTGTTATTTTGTTTATCATTTCATGTCCTCCTCAAATAGACAAACAACAAGTACACTTTTTTAAAGATCAGTAATTTTTAGGTGACACATTTTGTGCATTAAGTTGGCTTCTCTTTGACCTATGAAGCATAAAGAATGACAACTAAAACAATTAAAATGACAGAAATATAAGGATGAAGGATGCAAAGGAAAAACATAATTTAGAATGAAAAAATTAGAGCTTCAAAGCATGTATAGATATACAACGGTAGCAGGTTGCTGTCTGTAGGAGCAACCCGTAGTTGTGTGTGTGTGGCAAGTGGAAATGTGTCCCAGATTTAGCTGTGTTAGTAGAAAACAAGTGCACTAACAGTGAGGAATAAGCAATTGTGAGTAAGTCGATAAACCAAGATTTAGAACAAACCTCCTTGATATTCCCCTGCAATAGCTCGCTTGGACGGACACCGGAACGGATATATAAGCTTATGTATTGATTAATCTGCCATAGTTGCGAATTAACATTGAGTTACCAAACAATTTCAAAAATTGGAAGTTAAAAAAATATTTGACAAACCCATGCTATGTATTTTTTACTTTTCAGTAGTGATAACTATATTTAGTACTAATTATATTTGTCATTGAATAACTTTTCCAGAATCCACAGTTACCCCAATGATGAAGACTCCATCAATAACCCTAAATGAAACTAAGAAGAGGCAAAAGAAAAATATGACCACTATTCCTATATATAAGGGCAGATAATTAAGATTTGAAAGCATATATCATTGTAACTATACATATGCCCATACAAAAAATTACAAGTCATCCGTGCTTTATCAATCCTAAAGAATGTTAATTTTCCTTGTGCAACAATTGCACCTAATCTCAGGAGCAATATGTACACAAAAGTTCAAAGAGTCATAAAGTGCAATTATAAAACTTGGTATACAAAGGGAAGATGGCAGAAAAATTCAGCATCTTGAAAACATTCTCACCTTCCTATGATCATTTGGATGAATTCTATTTGCTGCTACAGGATCAAGGTCTTTAAGATGACTATAAGTATAATCACCATTTACACCAATGGGCTCAAGCTCAAGTTCAAAATCTGGTTTCTTGTCTCCTGATAGAAACAAAAACATGTAACACTTGAACTTGCTTGCAAGGTATCATCAGATGTCCAAATTCATGTGCAGAATATAATGACTCTAAGATGATACTGAAGACGCAAAATATAATGCAAAAGGCAGTGATTACCAGGAAGATTAAATAAGTAATTTGCTTCCTGATCTTCTATGTAATCATCCAGAAGGAACTGACTCACAAGAGCCTGTTGAACAACAAGGAATATTGATCAGGTCAGGTATAAATGTGAAATCACGAAAATTACAACGCTCGAGAATACCCAAGCAAGTCAAGACAAAAGACCATTATACAGTTTGGAACAGAGGAGACTTTCATGGTCCACAATTACCATAGAAAAGTTAGCAACTGTTGATAGTTAAAGAAAAGGAAATTAGCTAATTACATTAGCAACAGTCTCCATAAACCATCCTTAAGGGAAACAAAGTATGTTTGTGCGTGTCTAGTAAGAATTTAGGAAAAATGCTGCCAAGAGTGAAAATGACACAGAAGAAGAACTGAGTGAAACAGTGACAAAGCAGAATCATAGGAAATCTTGGGCTTCATTCAAATGGTTCGCCGGGTAGAGAAAAAGATGGGTCACAAATAAATAAAATTTGACTTGTGAACATAAAACTAAACACAAATTGAGACTTCAAATACTTGTTCAAAGAGTAGGCCCACATTAAGTTATTGATGCTAACATGAAGCAGGCAAAATGGTAAAAGCAAAAACAGAGATTTTTGGCAAAATATCTACCCCTTTGAAGACATTTTGTAAACGATAACTGATTGCAGATCAGAGACTGTATTAGGTAGCTTCAGTTTGTGTCAACTGGTCCAATTAAACAAGCACTAGTATTGTAAGAGAAGAGAAAGAAAGGAGAAAGAAGAGAAAAGAGGAATGATAGAGAAGTGCAGTTAGCAGACAGGAATATTGTTTATTCAATTCATCAAAAGTCTAAGTAAATATAACGCATAGACCATCTTTAAATGAAGTTTCAAGTGGTCTAATAAACGTAGGAAACTGCAAAAGACATAAAATAAAATACTAGAAAACCTTTAGAAATATACCCTAAGAGCTTTCCCTATAATAAGTATCCAAGGCAAATAATAGTTGTTCATATTCTTTGATTCTTCACAGCCCAAATCATCAAGACTCAAGAAACATTGGTCTTCCTCATTCATCCAAAGATTTTATGTGTGATGTTCTTGAGCACAAAATTTATATATCCACCGAACTTTTTACTTGACAATGCTTTAAAGTCTAAATCTTTGCCCATCTTTTACTCATCTATCAAACCACCAAAGCAATAGCTCACTGCCCTATTACAAGATCTTATACTAATCAAGCAAATTTTGTCATATGAAGACTGGCTTCAATCAATTTTAATTAAAAAACTCAATAAAATTTTAACTTCTACTGTCATCCTACATCACAACAGCAATGACTGAATGATTACAGGGACAAAAAATATCGTCATGATACAATATTATAGATAGCAGCTAACCTGGATATAATAATTTGTTCCACCCACTATAACAGGTAAGCAATTGCGAGACCATATCTCAATGATGAGCTGAAAATACAATCAAATGCCAGAATATCAGACAACAAAACTACCAAAAAAAAAAAAAAAATGGCTAGGTAATATTCTATGAGAATATATATACAGGATAAGAAAAAGGTGCTTCTAATAGAACTATTTTCATCACTTCTACTGAAGAAAGAACAAATAATTTTTGCAGTGTGAAGCCATCAAAAGCATAGGTCAGAAGGAAAAGGTAAGAAGGATCCTTAAGATAGACAAAAAATAAGGGAAAGGAAATTGCTAAATGCTAACATTCTTTTCATGCAACTATTTAGAGTAGTTATTTTGTAAGTGCGTTTATTCACAAGTCAGCCAACAGAGTAGTCTACTTAACACCCTGTTTGGCCCCCATTACCTGAAAATGGTAATGGGGGGAATAGTATTTTTTAGAAAAATGAGTGGTTGAAAAAGAAGGTAAAGTTTTCGATTTACGTGTAATATTATTTTATAGAAGATTGTATGGTTGAAAATAGGAGAGAGAAAAATGAAATGTAATGTAATTTAATTTAATGTTAATCAAACAGGGGCTAAATCTTTAGCAGTACTTTGAGCACATAAACAGGTAAACTCTAATAGTAAAATTTCGGAGCTGCTTGATTCAAACACGAATACCGATTGGAACGAGAAATTGAAAAAAAATATTTAATATACTTTTTTAATATTCATAATCAACCAACTTACAATAAAATCCTAACTCTCTATTTAAACATAAAATCCTAATTTAACTTTTAAAATAAAACAAACTCTAGAAACTTATTTTATTAAATCTCCAAATCGATAAAAACTCCTAACAGACATAAATTTATAAAGACAATTTAAATAACAAAAATAAAATATGAACTTTAAGGTATCCTGCATCATTCTCCTCTGATTACAAAAATCTGATTAGCTTTTAAGAATATTTAAAATTAGCATCCAGGAGACTATAACTCTGTTGGTCACACCCAATATGCAGGGAATATGAAGCATGATGAACTCTAGAAAAAAATTCAATAATGCCAACTTATCGTATTTTATAGTACGAATACATACTTTCCTTCAAACTTTACAAACAAGTGGGATGTCAAAACTCACAATTTTGTCAAAATTGTTCATAAAGATAACAATAAAAAATGCCAGTTCAATATTAATATAACTATAAAAAGCTGTACCGGAATAGCACAATCCCGAAAATCCTTGGCAGTGAATTCGACATGGGGGCTGATTGTCCCGAGCAGATGGTGCCGCACTCCTGCCCCAAAACATGCATGAATAATGTTAATAGTAAAAATAGATAAAGGTCAATTACACCAAACAGCATAGAAGCTAGTACACAGGTGGAGTAAAGGGTACAAAGCAAGGACCTTTTTGGTCTTGAACGGGAACTTTATTGGTAAGAACGTCCAATCCTTGGTAAGCCTGTCAATGAATTGGATTCGTTACACCAGTAGTGGATACATATGATGCCCTTACTCGGATTTTATTATTCACTTTCAATCTGTAATTAAACTTAACAAGCATCCTCTTAATCAAGTCATCATCAAGTTACCTGCATAGAGTCGGCATTGATGATTTCGATGGGGAAGTGAGAAGCGAGGTCTATGGCCAATTTGGATTTGCCTGAGCCAGTAGCGCCCATTATCACTACAATCTTGGGCTTTGATTTCATGTTAGGGTTTGAATTCAGGTCTCCGTTCATCATCTGTGGATTCCCTTTCGGCTCTTGAGGTGGGTTTCCTCTTTCCATTCTCTCTCAAGTCTCAACCTCTCTCGCCTTGGTTAGAATTGGATTAATTATTACCACGCCCTAATTGTAATTAGCTTAGGCCATGTTTGCCAAAAATATAGTTACTTATAGTTTTGTCTAACTTTTTTTTTTTTTTTTTCCCCACAATTTTTGAGATCACCACTTATAATCAATTATAATTTTGACAAACATGTATTTTAATGCAAAAATGTTGTGTGTATAGAAAACTCTTTCAAAGATTTTTGCCAGAAATCTCGGACCCATGTTGCGATAAAAAAAAAAATGTCAAAAAAATCCCCCGCCCCCCCTCCCCACCCCATGATGTGTCTATTCTGTGTAGTTTCTATGTGTATAGTTACTGGCAGCACAGCAAGCTCCATTTTAATGAGCTTCAATTGACATCTGATTGGATCAATTTAACTTCAATCTAATAGCTATTAAACCATTACATTTGTACAGTCACTTTAATATCCCTGTTTGTCATTCTCTATTTACATTCCTTCTCATTATTTTTTCTACAAAATTCATTTTTATCTATACATTCTTTATTAAAATAATATTATACGCAAATAGAAAAAAATTCTTTCTTTTTAACCACATATTTTTCATTAATCACTAATCCATAATAGATCTACATAAGGGTTTATAGTGCTTTATATATACATGATGTGATGATATATGAATGAGCTAGAATTCTTCCATTAGTTTCTGTTCTTCACAAGTTCAAGATTTGGTCTTGATGGCTGAGCAAAAAGAAACCTCGGTAACTTGTCTCTGTCTCCTTTGGAAGTGAGTTTTTTTATCCAAAGAAGGGATTGAGGAGATAGCTTGTGGATCGGATCTTGGCAATGTGAATTCCATATGGGTGGTTCGACTTCATGGAGAAGAAAAAAATCATACTGATCTATGACCAGCTTTGCCGCTTTGTTTAAGCAATAATGTGCAATAATTTTAGCTGCCAAGGATTACAACAAAGAAGCTGAAGCATTATAAATTTTAACCGATATATCTCTCATTTGGTAAAGATTTAAGTGTTCTAAGGTCCTGAATTTTGTGTAAATCTGAAAAATTAACTGAAGGGTTATTTCAAACATAATCCAGAAGATAAGTTCCAAAGAACTGGTAAAATACAAAAACAGATTCCAACAAAAAAATAATGATTACAGTACTAATTTCCATCAATAAGTTCTTGAATCGCGCTGTTAACATATCTCAGCAAAGGGACTCCATATTCTTGGACAGTTCCTCCAGTTTCTTCATCCTCAGTTTCTCACTTTCAGATACCAACTGGCCAATAATTCAGTAGAAAACCAAAAAGGATTAAATAAGGCAAAGTGACTTCAGTTACCTTTTTGTTTGGGGAAAAGCTAGGATAGATTTACCTCCATTAATTTGGTAATCAGCTGAGCCTTTTCCCTGTTCTTCTCGGTAAAAGCCTCGAGGGCCTCTTTGTACTCTCTTTCCTGTGGGAAAAAGTAAATTTTGCTAACGAAAAAGTTTTAGGGGTAGATAATAAACTAGTGAAGTATATTTGATGTTCAGCCCCATTTTTGAACTATTACTATGCCAATGAGATTTTCGCTTAATTTCACCAGACTTTAGAAATGACCCTTTTATAATTGATTGAACAAGAAAAGAGACTCGTTCGCACATACTTAATGAGATTCCAATTCTAGATCCTTAACTATAATATATCAACTGCGAGTTTGTAAAAGCTTGATACTTCACCTTCTTCTGGCAGCTTAGTCCCAATGGCTTCAAGTCTCGATTAATCAGGTCGATCTTTTTGCGTATAAGTGAAACTTCTTTCCTCATTGGATCTGTTAGAGCTTCAAGCTCCTACTAGATTAGAGTTTAACAAACATGAACAAATTTTGAATCAGTTTTTCAATAAAAAAAAAATAGAGTAGACACACGTAAATGAAAACAGTCAATTCTGTTCTACTTAATCCCTCTTTCTCTTTCATGGCCACATATCTTTCCGGCTAAGGAATGGGAAATCTTTGTTAAGCCAATGATTTTTTTCTGTGTTTCAGAATACGGTTAACACACATTGAAGAATAGCGAAAGATAAGGAAAATGTTTTCCGTTTCTTGAAAAAGGACAATGCAAATGTAACTTTCAAGTTTACTGACAGAAAATCCAAGGTTAAAACGAGAATTTTGATCAAATCACACATCACCATATATCAGGCTTTCAAAATCTTCGTATAGGAATCCATAAAGAAATGATCCAATTAATATGATACAAATAATCAAGATATATAATGAGGATCTGGATACAATTCACAAGATATAGGCCAAAGAGAGCCAAAAAAAGTGATAATATCCAACTTACTTCGCGAATTTCAGCCAACTTCTTGGTTTCTACCTCAACACGGCCTAACTGAGCCTGGACTCTCTCTCTGATCTCGGTTTTCTTTCTCTCGATTTCTTCTTCCTTAGCACGGAATGCTGCAAGAGCTGATCTTGTCATCTCCTCTTCTTTTTCATCGTTCACTAAAGGACTTGCATTACAATTGATCAATCCTGAGTTCTTCAATCGCAGCATTTGGGCTTCTTGCTGCTCCAAAGTTTGTTTATGTATCGACATAACCCTTTGTTCAAAGATAGCCTTCAATCTTGCTTTCCTTCTATGGTTTTGAATGATGCTTCTCTTTTCCCTGTTACAGATGCTTAACAGGAAGAATTGGCTTTAAAGGTATGAAACCACGTTACTTTTTCTAAAAAAAATCTTGCAATGAGGGTAATGACCCTAGTGACCTTATGATGAGAAAGTTTGGGGTAATTACACTTATAAATAAATTTCTTTTTATTAGTATATTTTCATTTTCTGGTGAAGCAACTGTTTTCTTGAGTAGGTACATTGGCAGATTTGCTAACCACTGCGCTCCTAAAACTGGAATACTATTCTCCAACGTTGACATTAATAAATATGACAATCTGAGATCCATATAATTTTTTTGGAAATATTGCAGTTCTCATTCTCACCCTTTAGCCCCTTTTACACGTTGAGTGTGCAATTTATTTATTTATTTTATTTTATTTTTTTGACCGTGTTGTCACTTTTACGTGACGGTGGTCCCCAATGATGGTTGAATTATCCTATATGTATAAAGTTGGTGGACAAAATAATATCAACACTAATCATTTTAAAAACAAATTTTTAAATCACTAAAAATCAATGGCCTGAATTTTACCAACACTTATTTTGTTAACCAAATTTGTAAACACATTTTGTACAAATAGCATAATACATGATGGTTTCCGTCCAATAATTCTACATTATCATTTTGATTTTTTTTTATTTTTCTAATTTCTGTAAAAGAAAAATATATTATTTCATTATTATGTATTTTAGTCAAAAGAAGATCCTCGAGAAATTGTTGGAAAATACGGCTTAGTGAGCCACTTTTGGTATAATTTTGAGTGGGACTTGTTCGATTAATTTGGAAAATCAAAGTTGATTCATGTTCTCCTCCGTAAAAACATCGAAATAATATATTTACTTGCTAAGAATGATGTTCGAGTGAATGAGAAATTGAAACTCAAAAATGATGCATTGGAAGATAATTTTGTAAGGAAGAATAACTATGTGTAGTTTGTCCCACATAGAAAAATGAGCAAAACAATGAACACTTTATATAAGATTATACTGTGAAAGGGTATAATCTTGAGTAATATAGTCTCTTTCCATGTACATGTGCAAGAGAGGTGCAAAAAGAGAATTGAAATTGTACATCGAGTATGACCTACGTACACAAATTTCGAACTGAATGGAACAAAAATTGCCTCAAGAATGTCCATGATTTTTTTCCTCCAGTCTCTATAGACGAAATCCTTTTTGCTCCTGCTCACAATTTCATTTTGCACTGAAAAATTTATCTGCTTCCAAAATCTTGTAGACAAATATTCGAACGAAACATCAAGCTTCAACAGTGAGGGAGTAAATATGTTTTACTGAAGCTGTGGTTGCACAAGCTTTAGTTTGCATATTTACTATTTTTTTAGCAATCTATATATTTCTACAATTTTCAATTTCCTTTTTTTAGTTCATTCTGGAGTAATAAAATATTATATTCTGCAATTATATTTTGTGCAACACAAATTACCTTAGGTTAGATTCCTTTAGAAGTTCTTATCAGACAAAGTAATATCATAAAAATTATTCAAACATGTTCAAAAGTAACTTCATAATCTCAGAAGTAGCTTTTAAATTTTTAAAATCCTTGCCAAATGACCCTTTATATCCATGACAATTTGTGAGGACCAATATTGCATATAACATTTGTTGGAAGGTCTATATTGATAAGAGTATTTTATTTTTGATGTGGGACCCTTAAGCTTGTAGGTTCCTTCCCTGTGTGGACAATCAGAGCTCACCTACATTGAATTAAATGAAAAGCCTTAAGGGCCAAGACACAGGAGGAAAGACAAATGAAAATTGTTAGCTTCCTTTATCAGTTATCATTGTTCTTCATGCTTACACTTGTTCTAGAATCTTTACCTTTTTTTTTTATTTTGCGTCTTTTGCTTTTATCTATTTATTTATTTTTTCGTCATCATGGTTGCTAAAGATCTTGTCGCTAAAATTTTTCCGGTAATCAAATGAAGGTGCCAAAAAATTAATAGTAAAAAAAAAATTCACGTAGTCCAACTCAAATTTATTAGGAAATATTGCTTTTTCATTTGAAAGGGACATGAAACTTACACGGCAAAATTAATTTTAAAAATTGACAATGTTTTGGAATGTGAATCTTTTCAATAATGTACCCTGGAGACATTTTCTTGCGTAAAGGAGATATTAACTAATATTAATGCCATTCAAATGCATAATTTATCATCATTTTCAGGCCCTACCATATTTTTGTATTCTCCATGTTCAAAATCAAACATTTCCCTGCACAAGCACATTGTTTTCTAAACTTCTCACAGTCGTGTTTTCAAACATAGTTTGACTGTCACAACATGTGAACGGGTCATGGGGCACAAGGTACGACAAATGTCAATTGTTTTTTGATTCGTGAACACATTTTTAGATAAATTTTGAAAGTAATTTTCTATTTGGAGTGTCCATGAGGGTGTTCGTTGTTGAGTTTAGTATTCTAATCACAATTGTAAATGTTGATTGTGTAGGCGCTAAAGTATAATTAAACTTCACCAATGTTTTTTGTAGATGTTTAATGGTATGTGCAATTATTCGATCAATTGCCAATTTTTCTCTATGTTGATCTATGGTAGACTTCTCAATTTGATTATCACAAAAAATTGTGTTTATTTCTAACAAATTGAATTCGAGTATTTATAAATTTTATTGCAAAAAACTGAAGATACAGAAATTGAAATCAAGAGACTTGCAATTAACGATCGACATGGAAGCAAAAGTGGCAATTGATGGACGTAAAGATAAAAACTGAGCACTCAAGTCAAATTACTTTGAAGAAAAAGTCAAACGTCAAATACCGAGACATCAGACATAGATGCCTTGAATTCATATGTAAAGGTAAAACACTTTAATTATTATCATTGAACTGACAATAGCTCAAAAATAATTTTTATGTACAAGAAAGATTCACATTACAAAAACAATTGCATAAAAACTATTGTCGAAAGATAAATATTTCAACTCGATGATCAAATTTTTACAAAATCACTTATCTTAAAAAATTAAGTGAAAGAGTCATTCAAAAGCCTAAATTGATCAAAATTTTGACCGTTCTGTATCTAACGCGTAATAGCTACTTCTACACTGTTTGGTTCAGATCCGAATGTCTGGATGACTAATCTAGATCAACAGATTTTTCGACGTCTTGATTGCTATAAATACCACTTCACTTTTTTCAGTCAAAATAACTTTTCAAGAACATTGAAGTGAAGCATTATTGATCTCAATTACCTTATTTTTCATTTTTCAAAAGATCAAATCATTTACTTCTTAAAAAACTTTTAGAGTAAATCAAATAATTGAAAATCACTTTTCTCATAAAAGTTTTTATACTCTAAATTTGAGCTATGAGATTATGTCTAGATCATCCACAAAGGCAGAATACTCGGCAACGGCTAATCTGTGCTGTGAATTAGCTTGGAAGAGATATTTACTTCATGACCTGTAGATTATACATTCTCAGTCAGCCACTATGTTTTGTGATAACAAGGCTGCACTTCACATCGCATCAAACCTTGTTTTTCATGAAAGAGCCAAGCACATTGAGCTTGATTGTCATCTCATCTGTGACAAGATTCAAGATGGAAGCATAACCACTGGTTATGTTAGTAGTGGATTACAAATTGCAGACCTCCTGACTAAGGCTTTAAGTTCTCATATTTTCTACTCTCATTTGCTTAAGAAGGGAGTAGAAGATATCTACTCTCCACCTTGTGAGGGGCTATTAGAAAATGGAAATCGATTGTAACTTAGTCAGCCTGGAAGTCAGCAAGGCTTGCACCCTCAAGTACACATGGATGACGAGCAGGAGAATGACAAGCTGGACCACGGATGGAAGAAGAATTTTAGAAGGAGATAGCATCTTTTTTCTATTTTATGGTTTTTCTTTTGTAACATAGTTTGTATAGATTCCCTTGCTAGGCAACTGTATAGTTTTTGTTAGGCCGATATTCTTTTCATTCTTTATACATAAGTGTTGGGCTTTCCCTCCACTTGAGGGACTTGCCCTTTCTCGGCCCATTTGGGCCCAACCCACTTAAAAGCCCCAAGTCCATTCCAATATAGAGGCAGAAAACGGGGCTTCATTTCAAGTGACACAAAATTACAACAAAGGCAAAGACGGACGAGAGAGAGAGAGACTTCAGTTCTTCAGTATGTTATTCCTGGCGCAAAGAGCTACGTTTTTTATTGTAACCAATCATCCAGATTCCTCTCCATTTCTTTGGGCTGTACACACTAGTTTAGTGAGATTTTCTCCTTATTATTGTGTGTATTTATTTTGGATGTTGTTGTTGGTATCCAAGAACTATATGCGTTCTTGATGCATAGGTAGCCTCTAGATTGTGATTTGGAGAAGGTTAACTGTGTATCCTATTCTTTTGATAATGCATGGCTTTTACTGGACTTGGTCTCGAGGTTTTTCCTTCACACTGAAGGGTTTCCCTAGTGAACAAATCATTTGTATTCTATCTTTAAATTCCTACAAGTGTGTGTGAGTTGGAGTTGGATATTATTGCCACATTTTAATTATGCTTATTGGAGGAGTTGAAATTGTTTCCACTGCTTAGTTGTGTTATTGGTTTGACCCCAACAATAATCAATCTGTAAAGAATAGTAGGTAGAAGAATCAATATCATGAGAGAATTCTTCCAGAACTCTTTCACTCTACCTGCTTGATAATTTTCCTTCTACTTTTCCTTTTCTTATCTGGTGAAAGATATTATAATCTAGGGAGTCAATATTTGGATGAGGGTCGACCTGGATTGCCTACAGAGTTACGTTATTTGGGTGATAGGAAGCCCGGTCCCCTAGAAACTAAGAGAATGCAGAGCACGTACACTGATTCATATAATTTGGGTCATGGTGATGTTGACAGTGTACCTAAATGTTTAGGTGGTTATGACATTGGTGCTTGTCATGAACCATCTTTGGCATTGCAGTATTTGAGTACTAATACTCGTAAAGATGGTGGCTTTCAGTCTGTAGACGAGCTACATTTGGCGAAACAAGGAAGAGCTATTCATTCTAGGGACAATTGTTATTTAGGTAAAAAGTATGGACACTTGAGTTCTGGAGATAAGCTCAATCTGGATGAGTTTGTCGGACCAATTGA